AAAGGGATGCTGGATGTTATCAAAAGCTTTTTCTGCATCAATTGAGAGAATCATATGGTCTTTGTTTTTTAATTTGTTTATGTGATGAATTACGTTTATGGATTTACATATGTTGAACCAGTCTTGGGATACTGGGATAAAACCCACTTGGTCGTGGTGTGTAATTTGTTTGATGTGTTGCTGGAATCTGTTAGGATCTTGTTGAATATTTTTGCATCAATATTCATTAGTGATATTGGCCTGTAATTTTCTTCTCTTGTTGGGTCTTTTTCTGGTTTGGGGATCAAGGTGATGTTTGCTTCATAGAATGTATTGAGTAGTATTCCATCTTTTTCTATATTTTGGAAAAGGTTGAGTAGGATAGGTACTAGTTCCTCTTTAAAGGTTTGGTAGTGTTCTGACGTGAAGCCATCTGGTCCTGGGCTTTTCTTTTTAGGGAGATTTTGTATAGTTGATGCTATTTCAGAAATTTCTATAGGTCTGTTCAACATTTCCACTTCCTTCTGGCTAAGACTTGGAAGGTGGCATGCTTCCAAGTACTGGTCAATTTTCTTCAGATTTTCATATTTCTGAGAATAAAGTTTCTTGTAATATTCATTAAGGATTGTTTGAATTTCTAAGGGATCTGTTGTTATTTCATCTTTACCATTTCTGATTTATGAGATTAGTGATTTTACTCTTTTTTTCTTGGTTAGGTTGGCCAAAGGTTTATCTATCTTATTGACCTTCTCAAAGAACCACCTTTTTGATTTATTGATCTGTTATATAATCCTTTTGTTTTCAATTTCATTTAATTCAGCTCTAATTTTGGTTATTTCTTTTATTCTGCTGGGTTTCAGATTGGAGTGTTCTTCCTTTTCCAGTTGCTTGAGATGTCCCATTAAGTTGTTAACTTCCTCACTTTCCATTTTCTTGAGGAAGGCTTGCAGTGCTATAAATTTCCCTCTTGGGACTGCCTTTGCGGTATCCCAGAGGTTCTGGTAACTTGTATCTTCATTATCATTTTGTTCCAAAATTTTGGTAACTTCCTTCTTGATCTCATCTCTGACCCACCTATCATTCAGCATAAGGTTATTTATCATCCATGTTTTTGTATTAGTCTGCAGATTCCTATTGTTACTGAGTTCAACTTTTATTCCATGATGGTCTGAGAAGATGCAAGGAATAATTTCTATTCTTTTAAATTGCTGAGGTTAGACTTGTGACCTAAAATGTGGTTGATTTTGGAGTATGTTCCATGGGCCAATGAGAAAAATATGTATTCCGTTTTTTTATGATGAAATGTTCTATGGATGTCCATTAAATCCAAATGCTGAATGGTTAAGTTTAAATCTAAAATTTCTTTGCTAAGCTTCTTGTTGGAGGATCTATCTAACACTGCCAAAGGAGTATTAAAATCTCCAACTATGATGGAGCTGGGAGAAATCAATTTGCTCATGTCTATTAGAGAAGCTCTTATAAATTGAGCTGCATTCTGGTTGGGTGCATAAATATTTATAATTGAAATCTCATCATATTGAGTATTACCCTTAACAAATATAAAGTGTCCATCTTTATCCTTGATTAATTTTGTTGGTTTAAATTCTATTGTATCTGCG